GCAGCGCGGCCAGGACCCGCTCCGTCCTGTCCCTCGGCGTGGCGTGTTTCAAGCAGCTCCCGGAGAAGGTGAGTGCAGAGCGGCCGTTCCCTCTTGTTCCCGCCTTCCGAGGGCACCGGGACTGCTCTGGGAGATGAGACTGAACCCACCCGTTGTCTGTGGGCTTGCCTCTGGGTTTTTTCGGCAGCATCCCTGTATCGCTTTGCCTGCTCTCCCTCTGCAGTCCGAGAACACGTATCTCTGCCAGATCTACAACCTGACGCTCCTCTGCACGGAGGATTACATCGTGGAACCTCAGTCGGTGCAGTTCCTGGTGCAGCACGGCTTTGACTTCAACAAGCAGTACTCCCAGGGGATTCCCTACCATAAGGGCAACGATAAGGTACAAAACGACTCTCCTTTGGACACCTCAGCTTGCTCTGCTCCGGGCTCCTGGGGAGGTTGCTGGCTTGCCCCGGTCCCGTCACCTCCCTCAGCAGCTGCTGACTAAAGATGGGCGCATGCCAGGGTCTCGAGTGCAGCATTATCCCTTTCACCTCCTTGCTGTTTTATATCCAGCCTGTCACTTGTTGCGGTTGCTTTTCCAAATATTTAGGCCTCTGTTTGTTCAGAGCAAGTCAGAGCTGTAGGCAGTACGCTGCTGCAGTGGGCTCTGAGGACTTCCCGGGGTGATGGCAGGTCGAGGCGCTCAGGCTCATTGACTAATCTTCCTTACAGGGCAACGAGAACCAGAGACAGAGCGTTCGGACTTTTTTTCTGGAGCTCATACGAGCGAAGAAACCTCTCATTCTTCATAACGGCCTGATCGATCTGGTCTTCTTGTACCAGTGCTTCTATGCTCACCTCCCAGACAACCTCGGCACCTTCACCGCTGACCTCTCGGAAATGTTTCCAGCGGGAATATACGACACCAAATATGCTTCAGAGTTTGAGACTCGCTTTGTAGCATCCTACCTGGAGTATGCTTACAAGAAATGGTGAGCAGCACTCTGGTATTTAAAGCTTACGGGAGGAAAGGCAAAGGGATTGTCAGCGTTTTGTTTGGTTGGTTTTCCAGGCGAGGGGTTTGGCTCTTTGTATTACCCCAATGAGTGAAGAAAGATATTCTTCAGGCGACTCTGCCCCGTGCTCTTCCCATTTCTAGGGTGGGTGCTGAGTGCATAAGGGTGCGTTTTGTAATACGCCTTATCTGTTCGGTGGGCAGCTGCCGAAAGAGGATTTCGGTCTTCCACTGGCAGCAGTTTTGAGCTGATTTAACTGAAAAATGATTGATTCACTGCATGGCCCTGGTCCAGCAGTGCCACAGGGCCGCAACAGGAACACACACAGAAAAGCGCTCCCTGCACCTCCTGACGCTGAGCAGCTCTGTCACGCGTCCTGCACGTGACACTCGCGTGTGGCCAGCTACGACTCCCATCCCTTTCCTTCCAAGTGAAGGTTGTGTTCTTGTTCCACGTCATGTCTTGCTCGCCGCCCCCATCTCCTCGTGGAGATCTTCCAGGCAGACACATGTTAGAAGCAGAGGTGTCTGTCCTCTTCACGTGTCAGCCTGGCCCCTGGTTCTGCAGTCCCCACACAATCTAAACAAGCCCCTGGCAGCGATGGAGCCCCTTGCATCTCCATTAAACTGAAGTCACGCTCCATGCAGAGGAGAAATGGTATTTTTAGTGACTGTTTTATATCAGGAAATGCCATTTTGACAGGTCTGAAAACATTCAAGATGGCTGTTCTCAAACATGAGAATGCTTTGTTTTGACAAGATAAAAATACTTTTTCAACTGACCTCTTAAATGTTTTAACTCACAATTCTAGTTACACGGAGCCTTCCAAAGGTTTGGGGCCCTTTAGCCAGCTCTCGGGACAAAACAGTTCTTTTCTCATGAGATGGAAAACATTTCCTTGTTGTCCGCATTGCCCAGGTTGAGCCTGTCTGGGTGCTGGATGCTCTACATCATACCTCGTTTGGGGGCACTTCCTCTTTGTCCATTAACGTTATGAAGACTGACACGTATCTTCGTGCCCTTAATATTTAAAATCAAACTATGTGTCCTTGTCTCTCATAGCTTCACCGGAGACACTTGTCCCTGCCTTTATGTCAGCATAAGAGAAACCAACCTTTAAATCAGCACAGAAGCAATTTACTTACTAGAGCTGTTCTCCCAGGACCGAGTGTCTCTCCAGCAGGCTGTCGAGCTGGGGCTGGAGCTGAAGAGCAGGAGACTAGCGGAGTTGAGATTCGGTGGAGAGCGGCATGTTTGCACCACCTCCGCGCCGTGGTACCTTCAGTGAGTTAACCGCAGTAACTGTGTACTCCTGTTCGTTCCAGCAAGCGAGAGAACTGCAAGCTGAAGGACTCCAGCGCCCAGCACCTCACCATTGAGTTCTGCAACTACCCTGCCAACATGTCCCATTACATTGACTACCGGCACTGCTCTCTGGAAGAAGAAAGCCACACCGTGGGAGGGGGAAATAAGGTGCCTGTCTGTGAGAAATTTTCGGTAAGTAACATGAATCCCCGCTTCCTTCCTGGCTCCGTGGAAAGAGCCACGTGTGGCCAGAGCAGGAAGCGGTAGGAAAGCACCTGGGAACTTTCCCTTGCTTACTCCACAGTACAAGGAATATTTTCGCGCTTCAGGTGGCTTCATGATGGAAAGGGCAATGGCATGCGCTGTTCAGAGGCGGTGAATTCCACAGGCTACATTAGACACAAAGATTCAGAAGCAGATTATATGGCCCTAAGTAGGGATGGTATGAGTTACAGTACCTATTGCTGTCTTGCGAGGGCTGCAAGTTCTAAATTTGTTTGGCTTGTCCTCTCAGCAAGAAATGCTGTCTCTTTGCTCCCCCATGTCTTGATGAGGTATAAAAAAATACTACCTGTCTGCAGCTTCTGGCATTGTAGCACAGTGCGATCCACAGCATCTCGAGTCCTGGTGTTGCTGCAGCAGTAAACAAAGTGCCCATCTGTTCAGATCATAGCTGGTTTCAGAAGCTTCAGGGAAAAAAGGAGCTCTTCCAGATGTTCCGCAACAACATAGATTGGGGAAACCTGGAAGCTTCTCATCCAACCACCAACTCAATATTGCTCAGAGCCTTGTTCAGAGAATTTTGAAAATCTCTTAAGGACAGAGATTACAAAATCTCTCCAGGCTCCTGTTCCAGTGCTTGACCACTCCTTGTGAAAACCACTTTCCTGGACATCTAGTCGGAATTTCTCCTGACGGTTACCACGTTACCTTTCCCTCTGCTCCCCTCAGAAGAGTTCAGCTCCATCTTTTGTATAACCTCTGCTTTGTGTAGCTGCAGATAGCAACTAGATATCCCCATACCTGTAGCCTCATCCTTTCCAGGTGGAACAAACTCACCTTCCTTGGCCTCCCTCTGTGCCCGTATGTTGTGTGTTACCTCTTGACAGCTCCCTGCTGCGCTCGCTGCAGTCAGTGCCTTTTTTGTGTGTCGTGGGGCTGTAACTGGACATAGTGCTCCTGATACAGCCTCACAAGCCCTCAGTAGAGGGGAATAATTAGCTCTGCTTCATGTTATGGTGATAAGCTACTCTGACCAGGATGCTGGTGGCTACAGACATCTCTCTTCCTCCCTAGGCCTATGGCTGGTGTCCAAAAGGGATGAAGTGTCCACAGTCTCATAACATTGACCTTATAATTGATGAGGACGACAAGCTTTGGGAGGAGAAGCGGAAGAAACGGAAGCACAAATGGAAGCGTCGGAAGAACACAGAAGAGTCTGCAAAGGCGTTTGAAGGGGAAACCTCAGGGAAAGACATGGAGCTAGCTCAGAATGGGGAGGAGGGACCGCCGCGAAAACAGAGCTGCTATGAGCCTGCAGCTGCTACAGAGCTGGCAGACATCACACCCAACACTGAGAGCACAACACTGGAGAACTCCACGGACATGAAACCAGAGGTCAGCTCAGACACCAGCACACAACGGGAAGAGGATCTGGGGAGCACTGAAGGAACTGCTGCCCAGGTAGCAGCTGCTGTGAGCCCTTCTGCCAAGGGAAATGCCTCTGACGGCGACCAAGTGGAGGGAAAGTCAGAGGTTCCCACTGGGGTGGGCTTAGTCAATCACCCAGACATCCCTGAGACTGAAGCAGCATGTGCTGTGGAAAAGGAAAAGGAAACCCATGGTCCACCTTCACAAGGGGGCACACACCGAGCTGGCTTTGATGCATTCATGACTGGCTATATCATGGCTTACGTCTGGATGCTCAAGAAAGGAAAAAACACGGACGCTGGTACAGGGCCCTGGTTGCCAGACTGCCACAATAAACTGTACCTCAGTGGGAAATCGGTGCCACTTCAAATAGTGAAGAGCTTGTTTTCTAAATCTTCCAAAGCTCACAGCCAGAAGATGAAGTTGGCCTGGGCCAGTGGATAGAGCTAGAGAGCT